AAATCAGACACGCAAACTTAAAAAAATAAAATAAAAAGAAGGGGCTTCTCTATGCCAATGTAGTAGCAAGGAGATGCCACCCAAAGGAAAAAGTGGTTCTGTAAAAGGGGGGAAATGGGGAGCAGCCTCTGGGACTGATAGTGCAAACAAGAAGACTCAGGGCCCCAATGGTGGTGGCAGTGCAGTAAAGGTCCGACACATTCTATGTGAAAACCACAGCAAAATTATGGAAGCCATGGAAAAGTTAAAGTCCAGAATGAGATTCATTGAAGTGGTGGAACAATATAGTGAAGATAAAGCCAGGAAAGGGGGTGACTTGGGTTGGATGACCAGTAGGTCCATGGTAGGACCACTTCAAGAAGCAGCATTCGGGCTGGCCAGATAGCTTAGCAGACTAAAGCTCCTGCTTTTAGGCAGAGCACAGTGACCGGGGTTCCATCCCCAGAGTACTGTGCCGGCCCCATCCCTGGGGCACCCTGAGACTGTGATTGAGACTGGGCATGGTGCTACGCACTTATAATTCCAGTGCTTAGGAAGCTAAAAACAGGAGGATCAGAGTCCAATCTACGTAGTAAGACTCTGTAGACTGTCTAAATACATTAAAAAAACAGTATTTGCCTTGCCTGAGAGTGGAATGGATAAGCCTGTGTTTACAGACCCATCAATTAAGAGAAAGTTTGGATATCATATTATTATGGTTAAAGGGAGAAAATAAAATTGTATGAAAGATTAAATTATATACATTTTATTTACTTTAAAGATATTGAATAGTCCTTGTATTTTTGCAAACTATCAGTGTGGATTTGTAAGTGTAAAATAGGGTGGATGAAGACAGCACTATGTATTACAGCAAATACTGCGAAATCCATATTACTTTGTTAAGTGAAATTCTGTATCACGTTAAAATTTTGTTTTAATTCTAACTCGTATTCTCTGTAATAAATAAAAATAAAAAGTTTAAAAAAATTAAAAATGAAAAGAAAAACAATTAAGTATTAACTATTCTTTTGAATAGACGAGCAAAAATCAACAGTACAATTACTGGGATGAAGAAAAGGACAAAAGAAAGAAAGAAAGGGCAAAGATATATTTATGTGTACATACAAGTAGCTTGGATAATAGTAGATAGTTTTTTTTTTTTTTTTTTTTTTTTTTTTTTTTTTTTTTTTTGTGACAGTTTTGCTATGCAGTTCAGGTTGGCCTTCAGCTCACTTCATAGCCTAGGCTGGTCTTGAACTCAAAATGATCCTCCTAGCCTCAGCCTGTTGAGTGCTGGGATTACAGGCATGTGCTACCATGCCTGGCTTTATGTAGCTTTTGACCCAGTTTACAGTACATCTCATTTGACATATGCTATGCCTACTTCATATTCCTTAAAGGAGACACTGTATCAGGCAAGCAAGCCATATATACCATCCTCCTGCAGATCACACAGAGAACCCATGCCTATACTGCAGATCACACAGAGAACCCATGCCTACACTGCAGATCACACAGAGAACCCATGCCTACACTGCAGATCTAGAAACTCAGCTGGATCAGTTCACCCAGGGGGTAGTAGGCTACCTCACTAACCTCAAAGAGATGGAGGTCACAGACCAGAATGTCATCTATTCATTCATAAAGGAATGGCCAATGCTAACACACACACACACACACACACACACACACACACCCCTCTGGTGTGCAAGGTGTCAAAAGTCAAAAAGTCCTGGAGGAACATTTCCTCTCCTAACAATTGAGAACATCTACTAAGAACAATAAGGAGACTGAAGTCTACAGAGATTA